TTAATAATTACTAATGGCCATTGGGTCTTTCAATTTGGGCCCAGAAAACCCACAAACTTACACAGGCCGTGTCCAAGCCGTGTCTCAGCCGTGTTCAGCCGTGTCCAATATTATAAAAAAAAAATATTCAGACACGCCAAATTGCGTGTCTGACACGTGTCCGGGCGTATCTGTGTCGGACGTGTCCGACACAGATACTTCGCCCAAAAATAAGTGTCCGTGTTTCATAGCCGCATATATATTGCCAAGCACAAATCCTCAAAATTTTGCACATATCACCGTTTCACCAAGTCTAATTGCATTTAGGACCACAGTTAGAAATTTTGGAGGGAAAAAAAGGCTTTCCCATAAGCTACTTTTAAGTAATACATGAACCAACCCACCGCCCCCCGCCCCCCCAAAACAAACAAAACAAAAAACTATCTCAAGCTGAATATAAGTAATTAAAATTAGCATTTTAGAAGAGTTTGTAGAAAGAGTAGGAATCGAGCACACCTTCTGAACACGTGCAAGAATACGGGTAAGATTACTTTTCAAGCTCCTCACATGTTCAAGATTCTTGGTGCTGACATTCCTAGCCAGTTCATCCAGGACAGGATAGGCATCTCTCTCAAGGTCTGCCACACTGGAATCTAAGTACATACACACAACCTCCAACGCATTTTCCAGAACCTGAAACTCAAACGGGAGCTCATACTGCTCACCTTCAACGGCTTCCGAAACTGGCAACCATTTTCCTCCTCTCGACACATTCACATCATTTTCACGTTCATCCACAGTTCCATCTCCATGGCCCTGAGTCTGAGATGAACTATTCTTAGCAAGTAGCTTCCTTAGCTGATCCACAAATGGAATAACCTCTTGGCGAAGAGGGTCAAGTAGCAGGACTTCTTCAGCAGTAACTAGAGCTTTTATAAACTCCAAATTGACAACCATGGCCTTTTCCCTGGCTGCAAGGATACCAAAGAGAAAATAGTTCAAAATTTCATTTTATTTTTTTTTTAAGATTGTTCTAGATTTCACTTGGTGATAAACATTCATGAATTGTCAATTTCAACCCTGACTTCATAGTTCCACAACTTAAACTCAAAAAAATATACATTGAAAACAACAGCAGGAAAATCAAGAACATATGCAACATGCATTTCGCACTATAAAAGAAACAAATGAGAATTTACTAAAAACCACTCGCCGTTCATGGTTTCCTAAAATGAACAAAGAACACGAATATACTTGATACTATTTGAGATGGAATGTCAAAAAAAATTGCACACGACCTTATCTCTTCAAACTAGAGCTATTTCTCCAGGTTCCTCTCTCAATTGAAGCAGACAAAACCAACTAAACATTTTTTCTCATAGTGAAAAAACGACCTATTTAGCATTTGGTGACCACGACTCCTACAACCCTACAACCTTACAAGTTTTTGCTATAATTTCAAAAAATCAGTTACAAGAAACAAAGATGAGCAAGATCACTTCTACAAAGTTAAAATTATAGTTCCTAAAACTGGTTGCAGCGGAGGATGAAAATTTACCAAGGATGTTAGAGGAGTGGGAGAAAACAGGACCAAGGATCCTCAAATCCCTAGCTGGAATTGCAGCACGCCGTATTATAGCGCTCTTGTCCCACTCTACAAGCTCCGACTGCCCCCATCTGTCGAGACGCATCCACAGCCTCGCTCCTCCAGCCTTCTTCTTCACCTTTCCCACAGCCCCACCACCACCACTGACCATGGCGCTACTATTATTGTTAATAGGAGGAGAACTTACGCCAATCGGCGGAGGCTGAGGTGACGGCGATAACTGAGCTGCCTTCTTGGGGCGGCGACGGCTACTGCTCCGGCGGAAAGAAAATGGTCCTTTGCCCATTTTCTCTCGCTCAACGCCCCTTCCTTCTCTCTGTGCAAACCACCCTAAAAGCTCCAAGTTTTTCCGTTTCCTCTCTTCCAAACTTTGAAGAAAGTTGTTAACTCTGGGACCCTAAAGTCTTCTCGCCGCCTCCTTTTTCTCCTCAGCCTACCGCAATGGCCTCCACCGCTTCCACAAATTGGCAAATTCCACCCCTCTGTCAGTTCATTCTATTCTTAAAACATTTGTTCCACTTCGTCAACCCATTGCACCTGTGCTTCGTAAGATTGGGCAAAATTTGAGAGCAACAACAAATATGAATAAGACAGAGAAACCCCGAACAAATATGGAAACCTGACGCAGACAGACAGGCGATAATTAAAACGTACGAACGATTTCAGAGGCGATAACAAATCAGAAAACAAACAAAAACAAAAGGGGTATCAATAATTTACGAATGACACAAGAATAACGCATAAATGGACAAAGAAATCATAGCAGATTTAATAGAAGCGTAGGAATTAGTCATTACAACATGAAGAGAAAGAAAAATACGCCAACCTTGATCGGGAGAATGAAGCACCGAGAGAGTGAAACGTTATGGGCGATTGAGGAATCGAAATTTTTGAAGCGAAAAGGGAACGAAATCGAAACGAAAATTTGTCGATGGTTTGGTTTCAGCTCCTCTCTCTCTCTCTCTCTCTCTCTAAGTCCGAGACAGACGTTTAGATTGAAAATTAAATTAAATTAAAGAATTTTATAATTTTATAATTCATTATGTTTTTTTTATAATATAATTTAGGAAGTCGCGGAAATATTTCTTTTTTAGTTAATATTAATATTATTATTCTTTTCTTATAATTTAACTGAGATTTTAAATAACTTTCCTATTAGTTGAATCAAGAATTTATTCTATTAATATTGTTGACGCAAAATACAAAATTTTGAAGTTTTCTTAGGTTGAATGTGTACTAGTGAGTAGAACAAATATGTGATGAGATTGAATTTTTTTGAGAATATGCAAGATTTTTTAGTCGCTCCACTTGACTTTGAATGTGTACTTCTGTTTTGAAGTATTAATGTTTTGAGTTAGAAGTTCTAATTTTATTAGTAGGGTCAAAGGTGTCAAAATGTCTATCAAATAATATTATTAAAATTGAATAACAAAACCACTATAGAAAACAAATTCAAATCTCATTGGCCACTTGCATGGGAATTAATTTTCTACGTATTTCATTACCAAACAAATGTAGTAGAGTCAGACGATTGTCTCATAAGATTGAGGTGCACACAAACTGGCTCGAACACTCGTGAATGTTAAAATAATAATAAAATCGTAATATAGTAATCTTATTCTTTTTTTAATTTATCAATATGTGGAGACGTGCACAAGTTGATCTGAATACTCGTGGATATCAAAATAATAATACCGTAATGGGACAATTTTATTATTTTTTTAATTCATCAATATGTGGGGGTGCCTCTTTGAATATATGCACCTCTCTTTTATTTTAGTAATGGAGTTGGGTGAGATTTTAGCCGGAATAGAAAAGAAAGAAAGTATGTAACACCTTTTTTAAGTTGGACAATTTTCTTTTTTTTTTTAGTAAATAACAAAACCAACTCGTCCGTGAAAATAAATCTCAAGCATACCTACTATTGGTTGGGACAGGTAACAAATGTTATCTCTCAAAAGTAGTAGCACGAGCATGATAGATAATAGAGATTCAACTATCAAGATTCGAAATGGTAATAATTAATAGATACTTTGTTAATTTTAGTAACACACGTTTAGGGTGGGTATCTAAACCTCGAATCTCAACAAAATAATATGCCTGTGATTGAATCATGCATCTGTTAGCATTTTCCCTTTTGTTAAATTTATATAATTAGTCCAAAACTTTAATCATTAGGTCTATTTAGTTATTTGACTTTAAAAATAGCAAGGACATTTTAAATTTATTTTTATTTCAATTACATTAAATAGAGGTATTAACATGTTGATATGGGATATTTATTATTATAACAAGCAATTATTAATTAACACAGGAGTAAATAAGTTGGATAAAACAATGCAAAAAAGAAAACATAATAATGATTAAAATGCATTTTAATGCCCACGACACATTTTTGACTTATATATCATTATTTTATAAATTATTTTAGTTGTCTATGTCACGTCATATTATAATTCCCAAAACAACTTCAATCAAAATTGGAAAAGTAACCTTCTAAAAAACAATTGAAAAGTTAGATAGAACCATAGAGTTTTCGAATTGAATCTATAACCTAACTTTTCTTTTTAAACTAAATATTTTTAGTAAAAAAGAAAAAAAAAGAATTACAAAAGTATTAAATACATTATTATCTTCGCAGAAATAGCCTTTTCAAGAGGCGTTTTTTGGAAAGAAAAGTTAGGAAAGAAGGAATACTTTTCCGAATAGAATTTATAAGAGTTGCTTCTCCAAAGATAAACGAGGAGAGGGACTTGAGGTCGTCTGTGAGATTTGGCGCCCTATAAATACTCGAAAACCCCAGGGCAGCAGTTTTAGGCTGAAAAAATCGGAACTCAGCGGACGAACAGAGGCTTACCGGAAGTATTTTTCAGCCGCCGGACCCAGCCGGAATCTCTTCATCTTCCGGTGAATCTCTATTCTATGTTTCTGTTTTAGTTTTCTATTTGTTTTCTTACAAAGTTATCTCCCTCTCGTGTTTCGCTTATTTTTGTTTGTTTGTTTTGAAGACTTTTATCATCTTCTTCGTAGTCGAATTCGATCCTGTGGTTTTTGAAAATAGCGTCTTTGATTGGGAGGAATAGCGAGGAAAGGTCTTATTATGATACGAAAGATATGGAACGTAGATTTGTTTTTGTTTTCTTTTTTTATCTTAGCGAGTAAATCAAGTTTCGTTTTGTGTTTTTGGTTTTCCCATCTATTTTATCTACCGAAAGAAGCGATTTTTAACCAGTTAATTGTGGCTGTTGTCATTGTTGCATGTTACGAGATGATGGCGAGCGGATTAGGGTTTCTGATGATACTTGGGTCCTGATTTAGTTGCGAACATGTGTATGATATAGTCTATTAGTGCATTGAACTGGTTAAGCTTTCAATTGATTGTATTGGAACGGTTTTGATCTCCGTACTGCTGTTATCCTTAAACTGCATTATCGCATAGTTTATATCACACTCTGCGCATCCAACCCTAGCACTGTTCGTGTCCTTTTGTAGATTTTTTTATATATTTATTTATCTTGATTTTCATTAGAAATTTATTTTGATATTTTTCTTTCTTATGCAGTTTGGAGATACAAAGTTCAGATAAAAAATATATACTGTATTGAGGTGAAATACCTGAAAATATCATCCTGGTCCAGTGGATTATTTTGATGCCATGACCGTCCAGGCCAATTTGCGTCTTCTAACCTATTCACAAGAGATTGTAGATGGACAACCAATTTATGTTTCCTCAAATTGTCTTCCAATTAAGGCTTCAAAATACGAACCTGCTGGCCATTCTTTCCATTATGCTGCCCTTAAACTCCTTGGTTGTGAGGACGATGAAGTGAGTGATGACAACGAGCAGACAGCTGATGATGCGGAACAGAAATATGCTCCATCATTTGATTCATATAGCAGCAAAGGTAAAAAGAAATCTGGTGGAAGCACGCAACAAGATCATTATGCATTGTTGGGTTTGAGTCATTTAAGATATTTGGCCACTGAGGATCAGATAAAAAAGAGCTATCGAGAGACAGCTTTAAAGTATCATCCGGACAAACAAGCTGCACTTATTCTTGCTGAGGAAACTGAATCTGCAAAACAAGCAAAGAAGGATGAAATTGAAAGTCATTTTAAGTCTATCCAAGAAGCATATGAAGTGTTAATTGATCCTGTCAAACGAAGAATATATGACTCAACAGACGAGTTTGATGATGAGATTCCAACTGATTGTGCTCCACAAGATTTCTTCAAGGTGTATGGTCCAGCTTTTATGAGGAATGGGCGGTGGTCTGTTAACCAATCTGTTCCGTCATTAGGTGATGACAAAACTCCATTGAAAGAAGTTGATGATTTCTATAACTTTTGGTATAGCTTTAAAAGCTGGAGAGAGTTTCCACATGCTGATGAATTTGATATTGAGCAAGCAGAGTCTCGGGACCACAAGAGGTGGATGGAAAGACAGAATGCTAAACTTACAGAAAAGGCTAGGAAGGAAGAATATGCTAGGATTCGAACTCTTGTAGATAATGCATACAAACGGGACCCTAGAATACAGAGAAGAAAGGAGGAAGAGAAAGCTGAAAAGCAGAGGAAGAAGGAAGCAAAATTTTTGGCAAAGAAGTTACAGGAAGAAGAGGCTATTAGGCGTGCTGAAGAGGAGAAACGAAGGAAGGAGGAGGAGGAGAAACGAGCTGCAGAAGTGGCTCAACAACAGAAAAAGGTGAAAGAGAAAGAGAAGAAACTCCTACGCAAAGAACGGACTCGCCTTAGAACACTTTCTGGGCCTATCATATCTCAGTCTTTGCTCGATCTTTCTGAGGAAGATGTGGAAAATCTCTGTTCATCCTTTGACATTGAGCAGCTGAGAAATGTGTGTGACAAAATGGAAGGAAAAACAGGGTTGGAGCGTGCAAAGGTTCTCAAAGATGCCCAGGGATGCAGTAACTCAGAGAGAAAGCATCAAGAGGTCAAGAAGACAGGACAGCAAAATGGTTCCACAACAGCTAATACCAGTGTACCGTTAAGCAGCCTTCAGAAGAAGGAGAGGCCTTGGGGCAAAGATGAAATTGAGCTCTTAAGGAAAGGAATGCAGAAATACCCTAAAGGAACTTCTCGTAGGTGGGAGGTTATCTCAGAGTACATTGGTACAGAAAGGTCAGTGGAAGAAATTTTGAAGGCAACCAAAACGATTCTCTTACAGAAGCCTGATTCTGCAAAAGCTTTTGACTCGTTTCTTGAGAAAAGGAAACCAGCACAGTCAATTGCATCTCCACTGTCAACCAGAGAAGAGTTAGAAGGTGCATCCACTCAAAAATCTGAAGACAATGCAGCAGTCAATGGTAATCTGGACATGCCTTCGGGAAGAAATGTAAACAGCCAAACTCCTAATGATTCATCTGCAAATGGAGTTCCCTCTAGCTCGGAGCAAGACGATTGGTCAGCTGTACAAGAAAGAGCACTAGTCCAAGCTCTAAAAACATTCCCAAAAGAGACTAGCCAGCGATGGGAGCGGGTTGCAGCTGCCGTTCCAGGGAAGACAGTGAACCAGTGCAAGAAAAAATTTACATCAATGAAGGAGAACTTCAGAAACAGAAAGAGTGCTGCTTAGCTTATTGAGGTTTCTTCTCTTGGTGGCAAAAGTGATCCTTTTGCAGAAAATTGTTTACCCATTTATTTATAGTTCATATCAAGAGGGGTTTATCTGGATACATCCAACCGATTCTTCACAAGGTCAGCCTATTTATATACCTCTGCATAGGTTTTTATTTCATGAAATTTTATCAATGCCTACAGCTTCTAGTTTAGTAACTTGAAATTCCCTGAAGAGATAACAGTATTTGCGCATGCGGAAGAGTTTTGAATTTTCCTTTCTTATTATGTTGTTTAAAACGATTCATGTAGATCTATGTTCGAATTATTTGTAAGCATATGGCTTCATTTAGAATGATCCTGTTGAGTTTTGAAAATTAAATAGTTGGAAATGTGATGAATTAATATTATTAATTTTTACTTCTGCAGTCGGCCATATATGATGCTTCTGCTTATAAAATCAAATTACTGCGTTTAGCTCTTGGGCTGTTTTTTTAGTTTAATAACGTGCAGTGGGGATTCGAACCGAGTTTTGAGTCGTTAATAAATCTTTGCTAATTTGTTTAATGTTAAAATGTGCTTTAACAGGCAGAAGTAATACATGTATGCCACATTTGCATGCTTGGAGAAAAATGCAAATATCATTATTGTACTGTTAGGTTGTGTTATAATAACTAGACTATCAAAATGCCCCCACAACTTGAGCATAGTTTAATAGGTTAAGGCAATGTTAGTGTGTCCTTCCCATCTTTCATCATAAATTTTTATTGAAAGAGTATTTGATATTGAGAGTTGTCTCTTGTTAATTTTCTATCATCTATGAAATGACTCAGTTATCTATGTAAAAAAAAATCAATATTAAGTCTATGGTTCGATTTTTTATCTATAAAAAGAAAAAGAATCAGCATTAAAGTTAATGGTTAGGTTCTCCATTTTTACCATCATTGAACTAAAAGAAATCAATATTCATAAATCTTTTGTGTGCGAACTAATAAACTATTCGTTTTCTTTACTTTTAAAATACTTTTTTTAAGTAATTAAATCTTTTTAAAGAAAAAGGAAGCTAGGGGCTGGAAATACCAGTAAGGATGCCATCCTCATTCATAACATACCCATAAGTTTATTTCATTTTTGCATCAAATTAAAGAACATCTTCTAAATGTTATAAGAATTTTCTTTAAACAAAAGTTTTCTTTCTTTTTTTTTTTACAATAGCTTTAATATAAGTTGCCACAACATGAACATGACGTTACGATTCTTCTGAAAAAAAAAGTTTTTTTTTTTTTTTACAATATCATTAATATAAGTTGGCATAACACTATGACATTATGACTCTTAAAATTTGGATGAAGTTCATGATATGACAAATAATCAGACAGATTAAAAATGGAGTGAGATGCAATTAGATAATATTTTTCATTCTTGAATTTTCACACGTGTGCATAAGTTCTCTTAAATTCTGAATTTTTAGAAATCAATCTAAATAGTCTGTTCAACTAATCGTTAGATGATTCTATCATTGGCACTCAACTAATAATTATTGACAACCGGACATAAAAATGATAATTCAAAGTCTGAAAAAATATATATAATATAACCTATTTTTTATTCAATAAAGAAGTATCATCTTTTTAATATCAATTTTTTCCATTCTTATTTCTGTATGTAAATTTTTTCAAATCAATCTAAGCCGTCAGATCATTCTATCTCATTTATATTTGAAACAATGGTGTATAATATTGGAATTTAACTAATCAGTATTTGACAACAATGCATAAAAACGATAATTCAAAATCTGAACAAAATATATAATAGAACCTACTTTTTAGTTTTTATTCACTAAAGAAGTATCATTTTCTTAGTATAAGCTTAATTTTTAAATTAAGGTAAGAATTCATTAACTTGTTTCTCTTCCCATACATACAAGTTAGAAGTGACCCAAAACATCCGATCAACCCAACCCAACTCATACGATTTGGATTGAGTTATAAACTTGTTTGTGTTTGGTCAGTTCAAATAAACGAAAATTCTGTGGTTCAATTGTTCACCTAAAATAAAGTTCAACCCAATTATTAATTTTAAAACTATTTTTTTTTTCAGTCACCATATTTCATTCAATAATTCTTTATGAATTATTTGCATTGCAAGGCCTTTAAAAAACAAATTTTTMAACTACTTTTTTCACTATATAAATAAAAATCAACCCATGAATCTCAATTCAATGTTAGACAAAATATAAATAAATATTTAAAATATTATCATATAATTTAATAAAGATTGTTTGGGTTAAATAAATTTACAATTTTAATGAATTGAATCATTGTTTATTTTATTTTTTTGTACATAATCTTGGTTTCTACTTAATTTCTCCCGCTGTACCTACGAATCAATGTATATAATGATCCTCGTAATTATTACCCCACATCCACCTGCAGAATACCAAAAACAATTGAAACCTGAACAACATTATCATCCAAAACGTGAATTGTTAGATCTCCATCCTGTGATTGTTGAACTTTAAAAAATTATATTATTTCTAAGTTGAAACATCCGATTTCTATCTATCCCATCATTGTTGAACAAAAACAATGACATTTTTTTTGTAAGTTGAAACAGACCCTTAGGAACATGCAGATAACAATTCATATTCATAAAAGGTCAAAAAAATGATATAACATCTCCTTTAGAAACATTGAAAAGCAGATCTCAGTTCAAAAGTAAAAAAAAAAAAAAAAAAGCTAAATAGAAAGTCACTGGTAAAGTTCTTAAGTGCACCCACGAATTTCGGCTTTTTCGTTACGCACGGAAGCAAAACACTATGAATGTTTCATTAAGCATGAACCCCTTTGTTGAGGCTGACCATACGAGCTGAAGCATCCATCTGGGATCCTCTAACAGAACCAGACTGATAAGCAGTCCTCCCCGATCCATATGCGGCATCTTGGTAACGGGTGCTCTGGTACCCTGCATTGCCTCCTCGTGACTGCCCTGTCCGGTGGTCTCTAGAATATCCACCAACCCCGCCTTGGCCTCGCCCTCCGCTGCTATATCCTGCCCGCGAACTACCACCACCTTGCCTGCCATGATTATAAGTGTTGTCCGGCCACCTGCTACCCCCGCCTCCAGCTCCAGAAGCATATTCTTGGTTGTCTCTTCTCCTCATGGGTAAATCTAATCCTCCTCCTCCAATTCTCGCCTCCACTGCCCTCTCATTAGTTTCAGCAAGGATTGACAGCTTATCTGCCAACTGGAATGCCAGGCCCTGTAACCGGGTGTGCTTAACGTCGTGGAAGATAACACACCCACTAGGCTGATCCCAACTTGCATGAAGCTCCTCATTGATCATCATCTTGCTAACAATACTGTGTGTTTGACCCTCTGCAAGGTCAAACATTCGGGTGAGATGGTCTGAACTCAGAGAATCGTAAGAAGAAGAGTATGTGAGAAGGTAAGTCCTCAAAGCCTCTTCCTTGATCTTTCCTTTAACCATTTCCAGCACTTCATCACGATTTCTAAGTAGTTTCCATACATCTAGTGATGCAATGACATCGAAAGCCTTCTGGAAATCACCCTTGCGAAGGGCTCGGGTAGCAGCCATTACATGATCTCTGACATTCTCAGGAGGACCAGTGAACGTTTGTCTCTCACTCACCTCGAGTAACCGTCTAAAGTTCTTACTAATAACCTTGCGCTTTGCATCATGAACATTGCCTGCCATGTTGGGAACTTCCAGCAGCATAGCACATATTAAATGCACAGCCTCCAGGAGCTCAAGATTTATGTGCATGTGGTAAGGCATCTGCCTTCTTCTTTCAAGCCTTTCCTGAATTTTGATTAAGAAGGAAAATAAATATAAAAAAAAAATTGTGAACTACACGTGCTCAAATATAATGTTAGTGGAGCACAAAGCTACTCTTATTCATTTAAAAATAGATCAATCTACCAGTATAGATAGGATAATTAACAAACAATGGAAACAGKCACAAGCAGATAGATGCTTTATCTAAAAGCTCAATTGAAGCTTGTTTCTAAACAGATTTTTTTACATTAACGTTAACTCCTGAGCATATAAAATGTCCAGTCAAATACTGAATCTATCACCAGAGAATACCCTATTTCAAATATTGCTAATGAAATCCAAAACTTAAGCAGCAGAAAGGTGGCGACTAAACCATAAGTCATCTTGGTGTCGCAGGGTAGACATTCATCCCACAAAACAAATCAAAACTGGTACACGAATACATGAGATCCTTAAAAGTCTTTTGTTTTTTTTTAAAGGAAACAATTTCATTGATAAAATGAAATGGGGAGAAGAAATACAAAAGGTGGGGGGAGAGAGCCCTATCGAAGGGTCACGAGATCCTTAAATATCATGGTCATAAACAGGGTAAAAGAATTATACAAGCATCTACAAAGTGGAATATTTTAGTAGATAGGATACAATTTTTAAAATTAAATGTCTTGTATTTCTTTTCTTTTCTTTGAAATAATGTATCATATAAGTTTCACTAAAAAAAACGCATGTTCTACTTGAAACGCAAGCATTATACACACCACAGATATGTGTCAATGCATTAATTTAAGATGGAATCATGGAAATGGTTTGCACGCAGGAATACCTGTTCTGGAGTCTTTTCGTGATATCGGCTTTGTGAGACTCCTTGTGCAAGCAATTCCTTCACCCTTCCACCAGAATATAATTCTGAAAGGCAGCCATGCCCTTCATTTATCAAGCCAACCCGAAATCCACATAGACCAAGTTGAGCCATTGCCCTGTTGAAAAGGATCTGTGTTGAAATGTCCAAGTGTTGAATACTATCTTGTAAATGACTCATCAGTAACAAGTCGCGAGAAATATAAAATTCATCCAAGAGAGCATGGTGATAGATATCACAGAGCATAGCTCGTGCTTTAGTCCGCTCATCTCCATATTGGTATATGAGGGTCACCAGAATGTCCATAAACCCCCTACTACTCTCTGGAAAGGTGGGTTTGCGAGGTACGATCTCCGGAGTAACAATAAATGCCGCAGGGCCCCTACTCTCTYCTACTACTTTAGCCTCCTCACTTGCATCTCCACCATCTCCATCTTCTGACAGCTCTGCAAGCTTTCTCATGGCATCATAGACCCCTTGTGGTTTGTAATAGATTAATTCAACACGCCTTAAGGCAACTTTTGAAGCTGCTTTGTAATCCCCAACTCGTTCCAAATATTCTTGAACATTTTGGGCGAGAACCATAAACATTGGCTCATCTCTAAGTCTTTCAACATACTCACGTGTATGTGGATCAATACACTGCAAACTCTTAAAAAACTCAGTGTCTATCCTCTCAACAAAAGCAACCAAGTTTCCCCAAACACGAATTGTGCCCTTATAGTCCRCTGGCTTCTGGCTCTCATTTTCATCAGGTTCAACCATATCATCCACCATGATGTTAGAATTCTGTACAAGAATGTCGATTATAGAAAGCATATTTTGCACACACTTCTTCCACACATTGATAGGCATGTGCCCACTGAGACCAGGATTTACATCAAATTGGGCAGATATAACACTGAACAAAATCTCAAGCTTCTGTGCAGGGGTCTTAGCAACTTTTGTTAAGAAGGTAAGCTGCTCAACCTGCTCAAATCTTCCAGTTCCCTTCCTACCGCGAGCAGCTACAACCTCTTTAAATTTCTTGTTGACAGTATCCCATGTGATCYCACTAGGATCCTTCATAAACTGCTTATCCATGAGCTTATCTTTTTTGCTCATCTTTTTCACCCATGCACCACCACCATGATCCGGGTCATCCTCATGATCGTCGTCATCTTCTTCTTCATCTTCTGAACCTGACATGATTTTAGAAGGATCCTCAATTTCAGAATCATCATCCTCCTCCTCCTCCTCTGTCTCCTCCTCCTCCTCTTTTTCTTCCTCAATCTCAGGATTCTCCCTATACTTAGTAATTAACTCTTCATATTGCTTATTGTTCTTCTTCAGCTTCTGTTTCATTGAATTCAAGGCCTTAGCATTGCTAGTACTCATTTTCTTCTTAGCTTCCTTATTAGCCATGGCTTGATTTAGGAAGTCCTCTAGCATCACAAGTGCTTTGATATAAAGAGGTGGAACCTTCTCAGACTCGGTGACACGCATGACTTTCTCAAGCTGCTTATTTATCTTATCAAAACTCTCCTGCAGGCTAACCCAGTCATTGATCTTCATTGCATTTTTCATCTGATCCACAGTAGCAGACATCTCCTCAAAACGCTTGTCTTTAGCCGACCTGACAATACGCTTTTGGTCGCCAGAATCATCACTGTCACTGGCATTCTCTTCCAGGTATCTGCTTCTATTAGTTTGGTTTTTATCAATTGTGTCATCAATCTCCTCATCATATTCACTCTCATCCGCTTCAGTATCACTACCACTGCCACCCTACGTAAAATTTCAAAAACAAAGAAAAAGAATGATTAACAGAACCATATTACGCCAGTGGGATTAAACGATAAAATTGTCTCCCACTATAACCCACATACTAATAATGTGAAAGTTTAGACTGAAGGCAATACCTGGGTCCAGAAACGAGAAGCCATTCTCTCTCTCAAAGTCGATCACAGAACACGGATCTAAAAAATTCGAATTGTAAAAAAAGAAAAAAAGTTAATGTTGCGAGGCAATAAGCGATTCAATTCCCAAATTCCTAAAAGAAAAAAAAAGAAATCCACCAACGCCCGTATCAATGAAACACACACACACAAAAAAAACCTATGAAGTAAAATCGAATGGATTTTAAAGAGAAAACGGCAGAAGAAACGAAAAAGAATTGCAGAAAAAAGCATAAACCTGCCTCTCAAACTCCTTCGCAAGCTTCGAATTCGAGTAACCAAAGAAAGTAGCGGTAGAGGAGAGCGGCGGCGAGAGAAAGAAGAAGCCTGAAAAGTGGGGAATGAGTTCTGCAGAGGGGAGAACAAAGGGATTAGGGTTTTCTGTTTTTGTTGGGCTGGGCTGCCCGCTGTTACGAGTTTTTTAATTTCTTTTCTGGAAATTGGCTTTTATTGATGAAATTTAAAAAAAAAAAAAACCGTCTTCCAGTTTTGTGTGACCCAAAATTGGAAATTCTGAATAATTATATTAAAACAAATAAGAATTTTGATAAATAGATTATTTCACATTATAAACTTATTTCTTTTTAAATTAAATCATATAAAATATAAAATAATATAGATTACATAATATTATCCATTATTAATTCTACAAAATTTATAACATATGTGTTAATAAATTAATCAATATTATTGCTAAACACCTTAAACATTTTTTAATTAAAATTAATCAGTTACCACTAAGCGCTTTTAACATTTTATTTTCAAATTTGGTAGAATGATTGTTTTCTGGTTAATCTCAAAAGAGGGGTCTTCTTGATATTCAACTCGCACGTAGTAAATTCAAATATCTACCGACAGTTTCATTAGTTTGAAATTGATATTTTTATTATATTAAAAAAAATTCGATAAAATATGAAAAATATAAATAAAATGTCACAAATATATACATAATATTAATATTAATCATTTTTAACTTGTTATTTGTTTATTTTATCGTAAAAATTATTGCTATTTTTTTTTCATATGAATTTGGAATTAAATAAGTGATTGGGTCCAAACTTTGTAATAACAAATTGGCCAGGTCTACAATACATGTTTCAATTATTTATTTATTTATTATTATTGTTTTTTAGTACACGTTCATGTTCAAAATTTCTACTGCAATATTAATTATATTTTATTTGTATCGTTACTTTTCCTAATTTGTGTTTATTACAATATTGAAATAATAATACATATGAGTCTTAAATAAAATATTTATTAATTAGGTATCAAGCATGTTTGTTTGTTTTACGTCCCGTATTTTTTCCTCAGTTTGGGCATAATAACAGAACAAGTACAAGTATTAGTATAATAGAAAAAAAATATGTTCCCCATTATTAAGATGTATCTACAGTTATATATAATACTTACCATATATATTCTTCTTCACCCCATATTGAAGGGCACGACTATACATCAAGCTCTATACTACCGAGCAAATAAAATAGATGTAAGAGTGTGTATCAGCAGACCTGATCCCGCTAATGTGTCGCTCACTGTAAACTCAATGAAAGCTTTTCTCAATACGAGCAAAGGATTATGGGCTCAAAAGACAACTTTACTCAGACAAATACTTTTATAAATAAGGCTACTTCTTTTTGCTCATCGAACATTCAATCTGAAAAACGTCAAAACTGTTACTAAGTGGCTCTTATTGACTCTCTATCATTAGTTTTATTTTTCAACCATGATTCGGGAAGAATTGCGGGAAAATTGTAATGAATAGGCACTTTAAAAAGAGAATATTATTTCTAGTCACTCTTTAAAAAACTAGGTTTTCTAGACATTTTTTCTTTCCAAATTACTTTCCTGCTCTTCCCCTCTCTCTTACTCCTCTGTTCCTTTCCCTCCTCTCTCCTACTTTTCCCTTTTCTCTGTCTATTATTATTTCTCTTTCCCGAAAACTTTCTCTCTTCTACCCAGGCCCCTTCTCTCTCTCCTCTTTCTCTTTCTTCTTCTACCCACACCCCTTTCTCTTTATCCTTCCATATTCTCCACCCCCTCTACCCATCGTGATCCATGTCCTTCATCTACGCCTTCATACACGCTCCACCAAGATCGACTGCTGCAAAAGCTTGCCGCCATCAGCACCATTGTTGGATTCCAGTGCGAACAAGCCGACCGAGAGCGAGAGAGTGAGATCGAGAGCGAGAGGTTT